TCCACGACATTCTAATTTATTGAGATGCACCTGTATATGTATATGAAGCTTTTGATAGCATGTTCAATAGCAATAACTGCATGATGAAATAGCTCTCTATAGCTGAAATATAAAGTACATTTTTCTCAACCTGCCTGCAAAGACTCTCAATCGTGACTCCATGCCTGACTCCGGTCTCCCGGGTCCCTATTTTGATGTGAAATCCCTTATCGTATAGAATCACGGTGCCTACTTGGCCATCCTCTGGCCTCATGTAGAGAACAAAGGAGTCTTTTACCACCAGCCATCTGAAACATGAAGCAGTCACCACATGAGAGCTGAAACAAGGGGGAGAGCCATTCTATCAGCTTAGGGAAAACATCATAATAACCTAAATAAGTAAACAACCGAAAAAGACGACATGCCATGACCCAAAGGTTCGGCAAGACCGCAATCCGAGGAGCAAAATTCAATTGGGGCTGAATCTTTCAGTGTTTGCTTTTAAGAGCCACGTGAATTATGTAAGTGTAATGTTACTGTAGCTGCTTGTCAAAGAAAAAACAATAACACTCCTGTCCACAGAGATGAAAATAGCTGAACATTAGCATCTGTTATTCACCAATATTCATTTCAGGGCTTGGTGTTCTTACTTGTGAAACCATGAGACGAAGATCACTGAAGTGTTTTTCTCAGAAAGATATTATGTGCACATTGTGAAGAAAGGTGAAAAATAAAAATTACAGTTTTCATCACAGTATTATGGTTTCCTGAGTGTAAAACATTTTGCACCTTTTGGACCACCAGTAACAGACGCTGTTGGATCCACACCAGTAACACACAGGGAATGTGTTTCCTCCTGATTTCTTTAAGATCAGACCTTCACTTTTGTCAAGGCAAATAAACATATAAATGAACAAACACAAATCAAGCCATTTTTTTATATTTCACTTTATCTCACTATATGTATTCTTACATTCCTTTTGGTTCTAGATCCTGAATAAATGAGATGTGACTCACTTCCAGTGTATATGAGCAAATGTATATGAGCCACACACCAGTTACTTCCAAAATATCATTATTTCATTTCTTTGAAACATTTTAGTTATAGTGACTAAAATGAAGTACAAATTGGCATTTGCTTTGTACAGTCCAGTTCTACCTTAATAATTAGCCAGGAAAGTGTGAGGGGAAAACTGAGGCAGGGGGCAAATGTTTCCGGGTGCAGGTAGTCTTTAATTAGCCCTGCAAACGAATGCTAATTATTTGACTGTCAGAGAATTAGCCTGTGAAGCACTAAGCTAAGTGTGGAATCACCTCTCAGAGGCTTTCTCTACAAAAGAGCCTGTTTTAATGAGTGGGGACACAGCAGGTAGAGTTCCTTCCAGAACCTTGATTCTGCCATCATGTGACACAATGGTAACTGAACATTTTTTTTTAACACTAGAGCTATTGCTAGACAATAGCACTGCACAGATAGATTATTTTAGAAAAATTTGTGAGTAAAAATTGATTATACAGTCATTATGTCCT